GTTAATGAAAGTGTTCCAAAATACTACATTAATTTCTTGACGACCTAATACTTATGTACATTTAGATGGAACTTGTCAGTCATATTGTGAGAAGAGATGGAGTCATTACTGACCTTTCCAAGATCACAACATTATAGGACTAGCCTCAACCTGTGACTAAATGAGAAGAAGACAGTTTCTTTGGTTTGCAGTATATTACTGATGTTTGTGACAAGCTTTCCAAATTTTCTCCACCATATCTGATTTTACAAAATTTGATCATATTTTAGCAATGATGCCAGTGTTGAATTATCTAAGACTGTGATTTGTTGTTCGATACTGAAGCCAAAAATAGTGAAATATAGGCAGTGCTCTTGCAGTTGTAGGATGGAGTGGAATGTATGATTGTACACTTGTCGTACCTTCATGGCTCCTGAACAAATACTGCATAACAGAGAAAGAACTATTTGCATTTATGGTTTTCTCTGAACACCATTGACGAATAGATTTGTGCAAAATTAAAAAAACAAGCAGGACATTTATGGCAGAAAGCTCATTATTTGGGTGAACTACACTGAATTAACTTATAGACTTTAAAAATCTTGAAGGGATAAGTGCACATTTGATAACAACATTGCAAGATTATGAATTTACTGTGCTGCATCAAGTAGACCCAAAACACAGAAATTCTGATGGATTTTTTGTCACATGTTCGACACCATGATATAGTGACAATAAGCTATTTAGTAGTAGATTCACTGGTGATTGGATACCATTTTTGTAGCTCTGGGAAAAGCAATATATGTACCTTGAGCTAGCATAGGCTCTCATTGCCATACAGAAAGGTAAACAATGTCAGTACAGATTGAGGAATGCAACATTGCATAAGCATTTAAAAACAAGGAATGTGTGTTAAACTATTATTATCAACAACTGAGATCTGGTTCTCAACTTGTGTTGCAGCTAACAGTCCCCAGAGCTCTGAGGTAGGAAATTCTTAGGATGCCATATAAGGCAAGGACTGTAGGCCACCGAGGTGCCACATGCACTTGTGTTAATGCATGATGGTGATTTTACTGATAGCATTCAGGTAAATACATTAAGCAGCAGTGTCAACACTGTACTGTATACACTTTCCAGAAGAAAATCTAGTCTAGACAGAGTAAATTAGGGCAGAGAATTGTTGGTTCTCCTTTGCAGAAAACAGCCCAGAATGTAATTGGTTCTATCCTAGTGGCTGAATGAAGGTAACTGATATGTTGCTGTTGTTATTGATTACTTCCACTAAAAGGACCAAGGCTTATCTATTAGTCAATACTTCAGAAAAGTTAATTGCTACTCTGTTGGTGGAATACTTAGTACCCAAATTTGGCATACCTGAAGAAGTTCACTTGAATGAGGGAGTTAAAATACATAGCCAGCTATTTTCTGGGTTGAACAGGGTATTAAGTGTAGTAAAGATATGGATTTTGTCTTATCACTTCAGTCTCATGGTTTAACAAAGTGGGTAATAAAAACTATCAAATGAATGCTTACCAAGTTTGTAAATCCTGTATAAACTGACTGTGATGAACGCTTGCAATATCTTATGATGGTGTACCACACAATAGAACACTGGCTGGTTGTTTGTCAGACATGCTCATGTTTAGTTGGGAAATGCTGCTTCTTGTGAATGTGATGTATGGTTCAACCCCTAGAGCAGATACACAGTGTCCAAAAGAATATGTCGAGTGGTTAAGGATGATATTAGCCAATGTGTAGGAATTTGCTCACCAACAGCTAGGAAAGGCAATGGTATGCCAGGAAAGATGTTACAACAAAACAGTCATGAAAAGTTCCTATGTCGAGAGTGGGTATGGCTTTGGTACAAGTCAGTAATATAGAGTCACCTTGGCTTTGGCAAGACAGGATTTTATCCTTCACTCTGACTGATCAGTTTACTGACATATGATGTACAGCAGTCATGTGGTGTGTGTAGCCATGTGGAACACGTTGAGAAGTTATGATTGTATGTTACTGATAAACCTTTCATGCATTAGCTACTCCAAGAATTACAGGTCGAGAGTGACGAGCCAGAGGACAATGGGAGTACTGTTTCATGTAATCTCTGCTCAGCTGATAAGGGTAAAGATGCTAAAACTACTTATCTTGTTGTTAAAGATGAGTTAGTTGAGAATGTGTCCGGAGAAGAGGTACTTTTACATCTAGTGGTCAGCTGAGATGTCAGTGCTGACCTCCTGATTGTTACAGCTGGGATTATCTGCCAAACCAGCAGTTTGGATAATCACTGACTGTTAGATCAATGACTGAATAGAAGTGCTATTCTTTACTTTCAGAGCTATTATGTGGTGTTTCATTCTGAATATTCTATATGAAATACACCGTGTGACTGCCTCTTAGTTATCACGAAGTCAGGATGGTTTGTTGATCAAAAATTGACAAGACCAAAATAATTCTGCAACTGTTACTTTCCGGGCTATTAATCGGACTTTCATGAAAAGATGTCCATAGAACACCTGGTGATATCACACAATTAAGATAGCTAATATTAGTAGATACAATACCTAAAATATCATGACTTTACATGACTGAAGGTGACGGATAGAAGTTTAGAAAACAAGGATGACAGGGAATTGCAGCCCTTTTCTTCAAATCGTGTGAATGATTTTCTGAAACAAAATGCCATCAAACTTTCTGAAAAAATTGTTCGCACTGTCTAGCCAAGTAGTAGCAGAAATGTTGTGGATCTGACCGCATAAAGGTCATTAGACTGATGTATAGTGCACTTGAAGAAAATAGAACTATATTCTATATAGATATTCTATATTCTATATATATATATATAGAATATATATGTGCAGTGAGGAAATTGTGTTCTTTCTCTCAGCACAAAACTTTAATCAGGGGGTTATGGATCTAAGTAGAATAGTTTAATGTCACTGGATTTCCCTGTTTTTATATTTCTTTGACAACAATTTAAGTGAATGGATTAACTCACGAATGGCAATACATTATCTTGCTAGTTGGATCACTGGTGTTAGAAGCTGGATAGGACAGTAAAACTATTTTAATGTGGAACATTGTATTTAGCCCAGGTTGATCTGAGTGTGTGTTAATATATACTGAAGTGAAATCATGAATGTTAATCCTAGCTGAAATAATTTTATCGGAAAAACTGTACTTTGGCTGAACTCTGTCAGTGATCATATATTTCAACATGTTAAGAAAACACCTATCACTGTATGTGAAACAATGTATAATGTTCATATGCATGTATAAATGCATGCATGCCTGTGTTGTTTACACCTGTGTTACTTTTACACAAAGTCATTCATGAGCGTTGTATAACATGGTGGATTTGACTTTGTATACGGAAGCAATGATTCCAGTTATTCTAACCAGAGTCTGTTGGCTCATGACAACCCATAGATGTCATACTGAAAATACAATTGTATTTGCAAATTTTGGCCAACATATGCTTGGATTCAGCTGAATCCATCATTAATAAATCAACTAGAAAATCAGGATCAACTTGCAAATCACTGAGCTTCACTTTGTCATTCATGCAACACATTGTTGAAGATTCCCCATGAAACAGTAGGGCTGAACAGTACTGGTAGGAGAGACATATTTTAGCGACTCCTGTTTTGGATTCAAAGGTTCCTGGATCATAGTTTAAACCTGCCAAACTTGAAACATTCTTTTAAGTTCTTCTGGCTACTTGAAAGTCTAAGGAATGAATAACTTGTTCATTTCTTCTTCGGTTAGAATCTTGGCGAGCTGAACGGTGTGTTTCTCTGTAATGAAATTGTTCTCACTGGATCTTACCTCATAATTTTGGTGAACAACCCTATCTCTTTCTTGCTCCTTCTTTCTGTAGCTTGGATCTTGAAGTTTCATTTTCTTTCTCAGAGTTTAAGGCTTTCTCCGTGATATGTCACTTTTTCGTTTGGCAATTTTTTGCATGGTGATTTTCGATGTTTTTGACCACTTTACACTCATACTGAAGTAAAAATAATACAAAAAAATACTTGTGTAACCTACAAAGATGTAGTTACTACAAAAGTTCTGCCAATTTGTATGCAATAAACTCAGTACGAAGGACTTGCGATTCCTTCGGTCAGAGAACAATTCAATTGATAGCGTACGTTTGGATTCTCCAGTAGAAAAAGTCACAATGATTCTTCACTAGGAAGACTCACTTTGAAATTCTGCATTAAACTCACTTTACCACAGTTTTAGATGTTTTAGTAAAATAATAATAATTTCGTTGATAATAATAAATGTACAAAATTAATGTACATTATTAATAGGAAAAGAAGTACCATTTCTCCATTAATGAAGCGATTTAGGAAAAATAAAATTAGCGAGGGTCCATTTTATAACATTTTTCATTTTGGTGCGATACAGACAGACATTAGCCTTTTGTATATATAAATGATTAATAGGTGTAAGCCTGGGTTTTTTATTACAGAAATATCAACATACTATTTCATATACAACAGTTTGTAAATAAGTTTGAGCTTAAATTATTATATGGGAGTTTATGGTTGTTTAAACTCATTACATAGGTTAATCAACATTTAATAAAATTACTAAAACTATTCACTAAGTTAAAGTTAGAAGGCTGGAAGCTATCTGGCCTGAGAGTAAGTTTGCAGTATTTGTCATTAACTATGTGTGATTTTGATCAAATGTTACATGTTAATATATATGTATAGTTAATCTGTGCTTTATAATATACGCCATTTTTTCTGCAGTGTTCTTAACAAACTAGTCTGCTTCACCAGAATTTATATCTATAAAAACATACTACTCTGGAAATTTTCCCACGGCCATCTCTTTTGAATAACACTAGGGAGTCTTCAGGTGATGTTATGCTTGTGTGACGTAATTACGTCACTGAAATTATGACCAATCAACGGCTGGCAAACTGTTTTTTCTCGATTTGTTCCACAGCGCGCCGGTGCGGGGTAGAAAAGCCCAAGATTACGGGATCTAGCAGATAGTGTCAACTCGTACAGAACTAGAAGCAGTTCTCTCTATGTACACCTCAGGTGTATGGATTTCTTGGAATCCCTTCAAAAATTCAAGCTTCCAAACGCCGAATCTTCATAACCAATCACACAAGCGATTTACTGTAAACGTGGAAACCGATTCATATATTTCAGGCTAATAAACCTACTAAACTTGAAGGTAAGTTTGTTTAATAAACAACTAAAAACACCCTGTATTTGACTAAATATGATTCCTGATTTGCAGAAACATATTTCGAAATTGTTATCAGAATTTTGCTTTAGGTAAGTTATTAATAGTTTTCAATTTCAAAGCCATTATAATGAAGAGGCTATGAGACATATTGGAAAGGAAGCTAGTTTATATAGACCTGAATCTTACAGAATATCACTTTACTGTTATTACACAATTTGTTTTCATAAAATATAAGTAATATGCTATGCAAGCACGTACACGTAGGGGGTGTGGGTGGGCTCGAGGGGGTTCTGCTGAACGCCTTATTGTTGTGATGTAAAAAAATATGCTTATATAATTATAACGCAGTTGTTTATGGTATTTAACGTTTTCTATGTACTCTACGTTTTTCTGATGTAGTAATAGCATTTTTAGGCTTGAAATAGTCCCCAGACCCCCGTAGCATTAACATGTTTTGTATGCTGATTGTATTTCGCATAATATGTGATCCGATTTGCAAAAGCAGTTTAATCTGAATATCCTCTATTAATGCTGCAACATGGTCAGCAAAGGTACTGATGTTGGACTACAGCATCTCTCTTATGACTAATAGTAAAACTTCTTCATGTGTGCTTATGTGATGGCTATAATTTTCCATGATCCCGCGTATCTTGACGTAACATGTACTAAATAGGATTCAAATCTAATTTCATGTGTTTCTTGATAGCATCAACCTCTCTTGTTAATGTTTGGAGTAAGACTTACTTTTCAATGTATTTGCACCTATTAAGAGAAAATCTTTATGTTTATACTAATGATATTTAAAACCAGTACTTTAGGTGTTTACGAAGAATGCACACCGATATTTATATATCAGAAGTGTAATCGTTTTCTGTTGCTTGATATTTCTTGATGCTTATGAAATTATAACTGATATTTTCAATAGATATATAATCGAAGCGTGCAAGGATGTTTAATTGGTATCTAAGATGTTTTTCATTGTCAGGGTTTTCTCTGCTAAGCGACACCATTCAGTAGCTTTGTTGTTTCACCATCCTTTGTAAAAGACAAGGTTTCCTACTGATTTTTATTAAGCAAACGTTTGTCCTTTGTGACTAAAACCTACAAGAAGAACAATAACGACAAACAATCACTGTTTTTGGGAGAGTTTGTCAGAAATCGCTTGATTAATTGCGACTTTAAAGTTTGTATTTAGTTATCTACTTTCATTTAATGAATGTATTGAGGTTAACGACTGAAGATTTTCTTAACACGGATGACGAGTTACATTATAGCAACTACAACTAGTTGATTAGACCAACTAAAGTTGGGGGGAAAGCAAGTATTGATTGAGAGTTTAACCTGATTATATATATCCAATACTTAATCCTTGACACAACTGTTCAAGATTGGAGTGGACGTTGGATAGTCGTGGACAATAATCTTAACACAATGCTGTCTTTAAACTGGGTGAATGTTTCAATACTAACTAAACGATTTTAATGTTGTTTATTTTTATCAGTATGTTTTGGATATTTTACAATTTTTATTAAATGTTTCAGGAAAGACTCAATTAGTTATTGCCGTTATGTTGTCGGTTTTATACCTCAGTTTCAGCACTTATTCATAAATTGCACATGTAGTTAAGTAGGAGTCAGGGATCATTCGAAATGATTTTAGCATTATATATTTTTTTTACCACTCACGCATTTAAGGTAATAGCAGCTTTTTTTTCGGTTGAGCAGGCCCGTTAGTCTGGGAAGACAAGATCTAAAGGGGCTCAATTAATCCATTTTTTTCCGCTCAGTTAATCCGTTTTAATCCACTTTTTCCTTATATGTAGGTTGTCATCCTATGTAAAAGTTACCGTTATCATTTTAGATGGCCCGGCATGGCCAGGTGGTTAGGGCACTCGACTCGCAGTCTGTGGGTCGCGGGTTCGAATCCCCGTCCCACCAAACATGCTCGCCCCTTTCAGCAGTGGGGGCATTATAATGTGACGGTCAATCCCACTATTCGTTGGTAAAAGAGTAGCCCAAGAGTTGGCGATAGGTGGTGATGACTAACTGCCTTCCCTCTAGTCTTACACTGCGAAATTAGGTACGGCTAGCGCAGATAGCCCTCGTGTAGCTTTGCGCGAAATTCAAAAACAAACAAACAATCATTTTTAGTTATGAGGTAAGCTACTCTTGTCAACAGAAAACAAACTTTAAGGATTCTTGAATAATGATAATCGATTATTTAGCATTGTCTACAAGGCGTAGTGAAATAAATGAGACGAAGGGCAATGTCTCTTCAGAACATTTCCGACGTAGTTTACATTTCAACTTATCTATTTGTAAGGTTTACTGGAAATGTTTTGTGAGTGTCATTTGTTACATACGCCCAGTGTTCTGAGAGACAAGTAAGGTGGCGTTTAAATATTTTTGTGAACTAGTGGAAACATTACATGTATAAGACAAGGGATTGAAATAAATTAAAAACTGTTGTAAACATTTCTTCGTTTTTCATTATAAATCACAGTTTAATCAAAACACTTTTCAGCATAAACTACAAAGTGTGTTATTAATGGGATTCTTATGCTACTGTTATCTTACTATATAAGAAGTGTTTATTTCAAGCATCGTGTTTTAGTAGTTTTATCTCAAATTTCAGTAGTATCACTTATTATATCATGGGAGTTATATAAAGCTTGAACCCAAAATGACATATTCCAAACATGACTTTAAGTCATGAGATTAATGATAACAGCGAATTAGTTATTAAGGAGATGAACACTTCTTGTAGAGTATGACAGATTGGTAAACACTTTGATGAAGCGTATGTGTAATCACCTGAACCGTTATGCAAAGTACATCGAGTATCCTAAATGAAAATCCCGAGAAATGTTCATTCAAATATGCCCCTAGTGGCACAGCGGTATGTCTGCGGACTTACAGCGCTAAAAACCGGGTTTCGATATCCGTGGTGGGCAGAGCACAGATAGCCTATTGTGTAGCTTTGTGCTTAACTGTAAATCAAACAAACAATTAATCATTCAAATACACGTTGTGTAAGATAAGAAAAAGGAACTTTATGTGAAAGCACTGTAGTAATCCCTTTGAAAATGTAAGTTATCTTTTATTGCTTGAAAATATGTTTTTTACAACAAGGTAATACGTTGTAAGCTAGTTAGTAGTTTATGGCATTACTATGGCTTGCTCTATTCGTTAATATCGTGTAAACTATTTAGCATTGTAAGATAATTTTATATCTTAATAATGTCTTGTATCTAATGTAGTAAAATCTGTTGTATTTCGGTAATACCTCCAAAATTAATTAGTGTTTTGTGCATTAAGTAGTTTGTTAATATCTTGTAAAGTAGATTTATAAGACAGTTTCTGTTTCTACTCATAACTTAGAATGTTTTCGCTTAACAATGAATGACAGCTTCTGAATCAACGTATTTAAAGAGTTTGTTGATGTATCTTACGAAGAAGATTCTATCAAATTAAACGTTTTTAATTATCGGTTTTAATTTAAGGAAATAACACCAACTCGTAATAATACAGTCGACAAAGCAATATGATATCAAGTTTATATAAGAGTAAAATTATGAAGAAAGTAAAGAACGAAGATACAAAAGATTAGTTTAGCACTGGGTGAAGATTGTAGTTAAAATTAGGCAGAAGAAATAAAATCTACTAGATTACATAAAATTCCCTCAAACTCAAAGAACCAATTCTGGGATTTAACCCAGACGTCTATAAAGACATTAAACAAAACCTATAAATTAGAAATTGAAACAGGCAATAAACTTGTGAAACGAAAAACTACCTAACTGAATCTAATTTCTTATAAATATTTTGTTTTTGCCTTAGCTTTAGCTACGGTTGCTATGAAAGAGGAGTACTTTTCAAAATCGGTCTAACCTGATAAATCGGGTAAAAAAAGTGAAGGATAGTTCAACCTTCAACACCTCTTCTTCTCACCAAATATTACAAGTAAGGAAGCGGAAGACATAAAACTAGGACATTTCTCTATATTGATACATCGAAAAGTTTAATATAATACGATCTGGCTGTGAATATTCACACTGATTAGGGAGTAAATATTTAGTATTTTCCGCTTGAAAAACTGGTTGTGTAAAGTTGAATATAAGGAGTAGATACTGAAACCTGCACTTGTGTGTGTGGGGAGGGGAGGAGGAAGGTGATTTTTACAGTTAAGAGAAAAATATGAATAAAAAACATATGTACAGACTCAAATGTTGGATGTGTAGGAGGGTATGGAATTATTATATCTTCAAAACTTAACCCAAGTTCTCGTACTTAAAGCAAAACAGGTACAAAAACACTTATCATATATGTAATCAAAAATTGTAACATTCCACATATTACACGTGGTAATGGTGTTTACTTAGTTTCTTCAGATAGGTAACAAGAGGTTACACCTAACAGTGAATGTTTACTGTTTGTTTCTAGAGCTGCAAGTAAGTTTTCCGTTTTGACTGAATAAATTCTTATAATATGAAATCCCCATTTCAATTCAGAGAGTAAATGTTATTTTTAACTAAATGATTTCTTGGACGTTTGCCATAACAAAGACCACAACCATCTTCTAGAAGTAAACGGGAAAATAGAGGTATAACGTCATGATCTTTTCTTGAAAATATTTCTCAGAGTGTAGGCATATGTTTTCCATATCTGACCTGAAATGCAGAAAGTTGCTATTGTTAGACCAGGAAGACTTACTGCCTTTATCTCTTCAATTTGCTATTGTTAGACCAGGAAGACGAACTTCCTTTATTTCTTCAATTTGCTATTGTTAGACCAGGAACACTTACTGCCTTTATCTCTTCAATTTGCTATTGTTAGACCAGGAAGACTTACTTCCTTTATTTCTTCAATTTGCTATTGTTAGACCAGGAAGACTTACTTCCTTTATTTCTTCAATTTGCTATTGTTA